CGTGGCCAACCTGGTCTAGGGGGAGGTGTCCCTGCCTATGGCAGGGGGGTTGGAACTCGATGATCTTCAAGGTCCTTTCCAATCTAAACCATTCTATGATTCTATGATATTCAGAATGGTCAGGGTTGGAAGGGACCTCTGGAGATCATCTAGTCCAACCAATATTCAATATTCAACATTCAATCAATAATGTGCAGACAAAGCTAATTTTGTGATGTAAAAGAAAAATCAACACCACGAAAACCCTGCTTCTTGCTGGTTTGTTCCCACCGTGGGTCCTTGAGGACCTTGAGGTCAGGAGGGAGCAAATTCCCAAATTCCCCCAGCTAACTGTGGTGAGGGAGCTGTCCTGGCCCCATCCGCCCCTGCGCTTTGTGGGGAGGGAGGGCGGAAGGAAAGCGTTTCCTTTCCACTTTTCCACCTCGAGAGACGAGCAAACCATTTAATGTCGCATCATATCCCATTACACCCGCCCATCTACAGTGCCTGCCTTCGCCTACAGCCTCTGCCTTATTAAGTTCACACTTCAGCGCGCAGCACTCTGTACCTTTAAAAACCATAAAAGCCATCAACGCTGCTATAAAGTAGCAACTGTGCTATAAACTATCCCGTTACGTAAAATGTTTAATTAGAAACTTAATGGTGAACATAGTGGTAGCCTTTAAAAGGTAATTGTGTTGGAGAGTTTAAATAATTCGGATAGCCTAATTGCCAAATTGTTGATAATGCAAGCTGCCACAGACTTGACTGTAAAATGCCTCAGGACACTTGTTTGCATATAAAAGAGCTAACTGAAGTCAATTAAGGCTGTGGATTAAATTATGAATCAAAGGGGTGGTTTTTTTGGTTAAAAACAATGCAAGGGTGGTTTGGCCACAGAAGAGTGGAAGGGAATGTATTAACCTAGCCACATATGGAAATGTGAAATTCAAATTTTTTTTTTTTTTATCAGGACCTACACAGACTTTCCAAAGGGCTAATCCATTTTACAGAAAGTTGGTAAAACGACCAAAAATCAAAAATATTGCAGTAGCTCATTAAAAATTCTGCGTTCCCAGATTTTACCATGGCAGCCTGCAGACAACTGGCTTTGCTCTGATTTTTCAATAGAATACAGGGTTTGCAGTGATAGCAAAGCTGCCGCTATTTCTGCTCCTTCAGAAATTCAATTTCACTCCCTGGAAGAATACATTTGCATAGATGCCACACAATTTTTGGTGTTATTATTTGCTTTAAAAAAGACGCGTAAGTCTAAAAAAAATCGAAAACTCTTCCTCACTTTTTGTGTTAAATTCTCAAAGTGCTAATGAACAGGTGAGACCTGGGCTGGGGTGCCTGATTTTGACCCGTGGTGATGTGTGGTGGGGCCAGAAGCAGGCAGCGAGCTCTTTGTGGTGGAAAGGACCCTCCTGGGAGAGGACCTGCTGTGCTGGTTTGAGCTCTGGAGGTTCACATGACAGCTATTTCACACCAAATATTTTCCTTTTGTACCTCTAATCATCTTTATAATGGAGCTAACGTTGAAGTGGTGGGAACTCAGGGGCACTGACAATCAGGAGGATGGGCAGAGGCTGTGCAAATATGATGGGAGCACTCCCTCCACCGTCCCTCAGCAAGGGCCTCTCTGGCCAGCGGGGTTTGCTGGGTGATCTTCCATTCAGTGCATGATTTTGTTCATTTGGATGAAATTTTATAATGTGGAGTTGTATGCAAGCACAAGTACATCTTTCAGGACAAAGCTCAATATTTGTCTGCAACATGACCCCTGGGGTCTATTGTTCACCCCAGTTACCCTCTGCTTCACTCTTTCTACCTTAATTTATTCTTCTGTTATTTTTTCCACCTAAAATTTATTCAAGCCCAATAAGCAGAAGTGAGCCCTAGGAAAGCTAAGCAAGCCAGCACGATGTTGTCCCTGGACCCATGCCTCAGTCAGGAACATCATCTCCTTGAGCTTCCTATATTACGGGTGGGGAGGAGAGGTGGCCAAGAGCGATGGCAGCTCCTTTTAAATTTTGAAATGTTGGCTTTTTTGGTACTCCCATCAGTAAAATAATTGCAACTGGACTGAACAGTGTCCAGAGAGAAACTTCCTCACAAAGAAAGTACAGTCAGCTCTGGGGCGTTCTGTAAACAGGGGTTAGATAAACATAAATGGTATGTGCACTCTTCATCCTACTTATGGAAAAAGTCACAGGACACCAAAGACAAACAGACATGAATGTTGTTTCTGATTCCAGTGTAAACACATATTCTCTTCTCCCTCATCCACATGACCTGGTAATCAGTGAGACACTTGGCTAAAAATGCTGTTACTGACTCCTAAGAAATCCTGTCAGGTTCGCTGGTGACTTGGGAGCATCAGAACCAGTACCATCATAGGCATTTAGATCTTCCCTGGGAGGCTAGGCGGTGCCCAGAAAATATGAGGTCACACCACACGCATGGCTGTGTCTGGTTTTCCCTTGGCACCAATGGTAGTAGTCAGAGAGGAGGAATGAAGATGGCTGGGACTGATATTTAAATTTTTCTCAAATCTTACAGCTAAACCCCCAGTGGCAAGCTGCTGAGAATACAAAGCAGCTACACGTACCTGTGTGGTACATTTTGTGTAGATGAATGGCAGACATCACTCTTCAAAACCGGGGATGTGATGATGGTGGAGATAACATTTGCCTGAGCTTTGCTTTCATCTTGTATTTCATGTTGCCTGCTTCCCTAGGTGAGGTTGACCTGCGGATCCTCTCAAAAGTACAAACCAGATATCCAGGGGTCACCATCAACAACGATGTGATAGAGCCAAGTGGTGACCAAATCTCCAAGTACAAAGGTATTTTTATATTAAATGAATTAAATTTACATTAAGTACTCTAAATGCATTAAAAGAGTTGAACGCTGGATGACCCCACATTCAAACGCTTTCTTGTCGGAATTGGCTCTTAAAAGTGAAAAAAAGTCACTATTTTATGCCTTTTTGCCATCGTTGCTTTTCAACGATGTTCAGTGTCTCATTAAAATCTTAGTCTCTTACACTGCAAAGAACTCTGCATGGCAAATGCTTGGGCTAGACGGAATTTAAAGGTGGGAACTGAAGGGTGATTGTACGGGAATAGGGTAAAATCCCCATATTTCAGAAAGTTTTCCTCCTTCAACTTGCACTGAATCAGGAACCTTCCTCAACATTGAAGGGAAGATTTTAGTGTCTCATGGTGATTCTTGCATCTCTTAAAAATTGTTTCCAAATAACAAATCGCTAAACCTCACAGCGTTGCTCTGCGTTAGTTACCATCCTTTGAATTAGAAAACATGGAAAGTAAGATGGATAGGAACGATTTTTGCTGTGTGGTCTGTGGCTTAGAGCTCATTTCCAGCCCAAAGGTCTGAACAACAGTCATGAAGCTTTTTCCAAAGAGGGTTGAATGTTAGCGGGGGTGTTTTGTTCATATTGCCCTACAAAGCCAGTATTAAATATCAATCCACAGTTTGATTATCACTGGATTAACACCTGCCACGCTTTACCTTAGCAGGTAATTGTGGTCTTGTATGGAGGTGACACCAGCTACTCCATACAGGCTGTGAGCAGCCCAGAGCAGAGCACACCTTGCCAGAAAGCGGCTGCTGAATGGATGTGGCAGTAATGAATGAAACTCATCAGCAGTCTGCATTGTTGGAAATGCTCCAAACCATAGTAAATACCAGACTGCAAAACCACGCTGTAAATCTCCAACTCTTACTCTTGCTTAGAAGGGCAATGAAGCTGGTGAGGGATCCAGAGAACAAGTCTTACAAGGAGGCGCTGAGGGAACTGGGGTTGTTTAACCTGGAGAAAAGGAGGCTGAGGGGAGACCTTATTGCTCTCTCCAACTACCTGAAAGGAGGTTGTAGTGAGGTGGTTGTAGATCTCTTCTCCCAAGTAACAAGCAATAGGATAGGAGGAAATGGCTTCAAGCTACGCCAGGGGAGCAGGGGAGATTTAAATTGGACATGAAGAAAAATTTCTTCACAGAAAGGCTTATCAAACATTGGAACAGGCTGCCCAGGGAAGTGGTGGTATCACCATACCTGGAGGTATTTAAAAGATGGGTAGGCATGGTCCTTACGGCCATGGTTTAGTGGTGGGTTTTGGCTGTGTTAGGTTGATGTTTGGACTCAACAATCTTAAATATCCCTTCCAACCTAGATGATTCTATGATTCTAAGTCCTTAAAAGCAAAGCATTCCCAGTATTAAGCAAATTGTGGAGGTTGAAGGAAAAAAAAAGCAACAGTCCCTTTCTCCCTGCAGTGGGGGAGTTCAGTCAATGGAAGCACTAAAGGCTTCCAGGAAACACATCATTTTTTAATATCTGTCTCTGTATTACATGGAGCTGATGTCTGGCAAGATGACTTGTGCAAAATCTCAGTAGCTTTTCCATTGCTCAAGGCTGAGATGGCGAAGGAAGGGTCTACTCTGTTTATAAGACAGTCTGGAAACTTGCATCTAGCGTTTCTGTTCTGCCTGGGCCATAGACCATAGGCTACGGGAGACCAGATTTCCAGTGAATCTTCCTAGTGGTCTCACCACTTACCACCAATTAACTGGCAGTCCTATACTACTTCAGTGAGTTTCTTTGCTGAAGAAAGTTAAAGAAAATATAAGATGTTGTCCTTATTTTAAGTTTTATGCTAAACTAGAAATGAAATATTAATCTGAATTTCTTTCTTTAAACTTTCTGATTTGGTAATTAATCATGTCCCATTAGGTATCATTAATTAGTTTTCTGAGCCCTAAGATTTTCCGGGGAGAATTGGAAACATTATCTGTGCCTTTGAGGATTCAGTAGATATGTTTTCTGCCTAACCAGCTACTTTCTCCTTGGGAAGGAGAAGCCAAGCTCACAGGAGAAACATCTTCCTGGGACATGCAGCGATGACAAACTGAGGTTTATCTTAGGCTGTGTTGTATGACAGAGGCTCTCCTCAAAGCCCCGTGGCCAGATTGTGGCTTTCATTCATTCTTGGTCCGTGACTAGGTGAAGTCCCTCAGTGACCGTGGTTGGAGTGTTGGTGGCCCCACAACTGAGCTGCGTTGCTGTTGCCTGCCTGGCGCAGCACAGCTGCAGGCAGTTTGGTTTTGATGGCGCCTGTCAAGGGCACACAACTGGCTTCTGACCCAGACAACAATCTGAGTTGTACCCAGGAGAAAATTCAGGAAAACTTTTCAAAAGGGTTACGGCGATGCGTTTTGGCTTCAGATGAATCTTTGGACAGAAACTTCCCATAATCAGAATGAGTTTGCCCTTTCTGAAATTTTACCTTTAAAAGCCCACCCTGGCAAGCAATTCAGATTTCTTCCTAGTGTCTCCTCGCAGACTGTCTAGCAATTGAACTGAACCGGATCACACCACATTATTTGCAATGGTGATATGAACTGCTGCTGAATGAAGTCTGCATTTAAAACAGCAAATTAAATCTGAATTGCAAGCACCGGGGCCAGGGACTGATAAATGGAAGTGAACAGAGTAACAGCAGCAGCCTCCAAAAGGGGTGGCCCATTTCCAGCGATAAAAGAGAGGAGATAAGCATCGATGGAGCATTTCTCGTCTGTCCGAAAAGGACATCCTGCTCTTCAAAAGGAGAAACATTGTGATTAGTGGTGTACAGGCGCTGGTCTTAGCAAATCATGTTGTTTTGAACATGTGTTCTGTAGCTAAGGCTCAGTCTGCCTTTGGGCCATTTAAGTTTTAAATTTATGTTAACTCCAGCGAAGCACAGGAATCGCATCAGGGATAGCTTTGTCCTGGAGCGATCCCGAGCGCCAGGCAGGAGCACAGTGCGATGAGCTCCATATGCCAGCAGATAGACATTAGTATTCCAGCATCCTCTAAAATATGAAATTATCCCTCAGTTTTGCTCCCATAAAAGCTAAGAAACGCAGTGATGAGCGAGACCCTCAGTATACCTTGTTCCTTGAATCCACTTCTCCAGCTTTCTGCTTTCCGCAGTTGCCGGATGTGCATTGTATTGAGGTCTGAAAACACACTGTGTGTCAGTCTTTATACTAGTCTTTGCTTTAAAACACTGTTATCCCTTTTACCTGAAGCAGCTGGCTGAAACTGTGGGCTTTTGAAAAATTGTTTGGACACAGCAGAAGCCAAATCTCAAGAGATGGGTCCTTGCTCACGGAGCAAAGCTCCTTCCCTCTCCGATCATCGCCGTGACACATTCCCAACATGAGCCATTTGCTTTCTCTGCCCTTCTCGAGTTTTTAATTGTGCTTTCTCTTTAAAACACAACCCCCTTGATGCATCCTGGAGCCCCTGTATTTATTTGTTCAGTCTCTGGAAAAGCCTTTGCCGTGACTAGGCTTCTGCTCAGCCATGTGGGTCTTGAATGGCACCTAAGCGAAGGGGCCACCAGCTCTTTTCCCTTTCAGCATGAAATGTGCTGCTCGTGGCCTTGTAACTGTTTATCCCAGCCACAACCTTTTAATGTAGCTTGAGTCAGTCATGGGGAAGAGTTTCTTTTTTTTAAATCAGGTAAGGACTGGAGGAGCCCAAATGTGGGTGCAAAGATTAAAGCATCAGACCCTCTTAAGACTTCATCCTACATAGACATTTGCAGCCCCCTTCTCACATGCGGGCTTAAGATTTTAAACATTCCACTGCTGTGTTAAACTGGTACCAAAGTTCTCTGACTAAATATGTCGTTCGAATGTATTAAAGCTCTGAATGGAAATCGGTCCCATATTTGCAACTGCAATAACTCTGTCCTTCCTTCTCCCATATCTCAGAGCGTGTGGCTAAGACTTCAAACCTCGAGAACGTAAAGTTTACCTGGCATGAGGAGACAGCTTATGAATATGAAAGTCGAATGAATGCAGAAAAGAAGTCTAAAAAATGGGACTTCATTCACATGATCCAGGTAAAAGTCTCTGCAAAGTAAATGTTGTCAAAGACTTGGCTGTTAAAAGTACGCATGAAGTATGTGACCTCATTATCCACTCTAAGGGGAAGAAAGGTGAGTTTATTTCCCTGTATTTAAAGTACTTAAGCATAAGTGAACTGCAGAAATGAAAGATGAGTTACAGAAAGGCAACTTTGAGCACAGTAGTCCTATTAACTAGGCTGTGGGTGGCAGTCAACTAAAAATACATTTTAACTAGGGTTTTCAAAGCTCCTTGTCCTCTCTGTGAAAATGCCTTTATATTTCCAAGTTTACCGAAGCCATTACAAGCCATCTTCACTGTTAAGAAAGTCAAGGCTTTTTGTCCCACGTTAATGAATGAATGTGGGCTTGGTCCTGGCAGAGCCAAAGAGTAGGCAAGGCAGTGACAGCCCCGAGCTTGCTGCCCGAGCCCACTGACCGGCGTTGTGCTAACCTGTCTTGTCCTGCTGCTCTTCCATCAAGGTTGCCCCCATCTGGTTCCTTTTACCTAGTGGTACCTGTTATAATATTCACCGGGACCATACCCTATCTCTGTAAGCATTTCTGCTTTTTCCAGATGCTGTATTATGTGAAAGATGTCCCAGCAACTATTAGGTATTTCCACAGCCTCCTGGAAGCACAGGCGAAGCTCCTCATTATCCTGGTGTCAGGTGAGAGCTGCTCCACCAGCACTGCTCGGTCAGGCAAGAGCCATGAGGTCCTTTGGGGTTCCTGTGAGTTCAATGCAGACCAGCTAGAAAACAATGGACATTTTTATTTAAAATATCCTTTATCACAAATACAGGTGAACTGGTTGAGCAATAAATGGTGTCCATTCACCTACACCTATTGAAATCTGCACGCCGTTTATATCTGCTCAGCTCCGTACAGCAGGTTGTAAAGCTTAGTGCGCCGGCAAACCTGTGCCATGGGCACAAAACGCCTCTATCTCCCCCTCTGCCCTTCCCCATCCTACAGCCTGGCCAGTGACAGACGGCAGCGGAGAGCCCCGTCCTGCGGCTGTGGCTCGCAAGAGCTCCTTCGGCCTCTGCTGTTTTCTGTAAAAGGCTGTCCAAGCTGGGCACTGCATTATCTCGCTCCCCGAGACTTGCGGCATTAAGCAAACGGCTACGACGGGGCTCGGCTGTGCCATACAGCAGGTGTTAGAGCACATATGGTTCATTTTCTTCTCAAACTGCCCATTTCCTTAATATCATCATTTTGAGTGGAAAACGGCGTTCTTAGGCTGTTTCAGAGCTCAAAGAGATGCTCTGTGGTAAATCCAGCAGGAAAATGAGGGAGCAGAGTAAACGATGACCTTTTAATTCTGTGGGCAAGGTATGCTAGAGATGCTGCAACAGTGGGGTCTAGTTTGACTCTAGAAAGCCTTTAATTTGGCTCACAAACTACGGAAATTTTAGTTGTGTAAACAGTCACATCTGACAGTTTTGTCAGGGATGTTGTGTTATTTGTTCAGAGGTTTAAGTTTAATTTTGTATTGAATTTGGCCGTGTCTGCAAACTGTAACGTGTTTGGTGAAGCCCCTTTTTAGTGCTCGTGATGTCCACAACAAAGCGACACTTCTCTGAGCTGAACTCATTCAAACTGTTTTTCTCCAAAATGTTTTTTTGGTTTAAAGTATTTTCAAGCAGTTCACTACAAGAAATCGGTATTTTAAATGATCTGAGTTACTGTTCTTGTTCTTTGGCTGAATGAGAATAGATCATAGTATCAGACTATTGCTGATTACCTCCATAGAGTTAATTGAAACGCTTTTCCAGTTGCTTAACTTGTCCCTTTGGATATTCATGAAATGTGAATACAGGGAGGAACACGTGTCTATTCAAAATTAATGTGATTAAAAATCACATTGATGAAAATCATCAATTCATGAAAAGTATGTGAAGTCCTCTCTGGGCCAGGTGACTTTGTGTTTTCTGATGGAGCAGAATGGAGTAGGAATTGCTGGGGACAGCAAGAAAATAGGAGAGAGGAACAGATCTCAGAATAGCAGAGAGGAAAGGAAGGGGAAAACCTTGGGGGAAAGAAAAGCGTAGAGAGGGGAAGGAGGAAGCGCTATGAAAATGAGCACTGAAGCAAAAAGAGGTACTGAAAAATAAGCAGAACAAAACTAATTTCGAAAAATGAAGGTAATGTCATCTCCAACACAAACATATTAGGACGTGTTAATTAAAAACCAGTGTGGGAATAAGATTGATAGGAGAGGGCTTGGTCAGTTGGTGAAGGTTACAATCCCTCCTGCTCTGTCCCTGCCGGGAGAGCAGGCGAGTTGCAAGAGCTATGCGGTGTTATTTTTAACACATTTAAAAAATCTGTTTACATCGCCTTGAAAACAAAAGTAGTGCCATATGCTGAGCCTATTGAGAGCTATTATAATAATGCTTCGTTCAGGTAGTGTATAATTGCTCGGCTCAGAGATGGCACTGAGTCACACAACACTGACACCAGCAAATTTTCTGCAATTAGTGCTCTGCATTCAATTTCCACCAGGTGAAAGAAAATATTGTAGCCTCTCTTCTAAACAACAAACTGTTCATTTGACTATAAATAACTGTTTGCAGATAAAGCATTTGCAAAACCGCCGAGCAACTGGTTTTAGTAGTTATGGAGATTTATAGTCATAACTCTCAAGAGCTGCTCATTAGGCTTCAAGTTATTTTCATCCCGTCCAGTCATTCTGGGTGATCCTTTTATAAATGATTTATAGCAGAAATGCTGAATCACAGATCCAGGGTGAGGGGAAATAAAGCTGTGAAGGTATATCTGGGGAATTTTCAGCTTACCCAGCCGCTTTTCTTTGTAAAACGTCCCTCGAGAAGAGGTGCGTGCTCAAGCGTGGGCTCAGCGAGGGCTCAGTTCCAGAGGTGATTGCAATGCTACAGGAGCCTTTTCCTTCCTCACCCTTCATCTGTGCACACCCAAATAATACACAGCCAAAACATCCTTCTGGCCCCGCTGGGGAGGTCTGCGTGGGTGAGGGGCAGCCCTCTCATCAACCATGCCCATGTGAGCATCATGGGAGCGAAGGCTGAAGGCCGGGATGATGGTGCAGCTTCATCCTGCACTCTGTCCATCCCACCCTTTTCTCCACCACCCATGGACAACGTGCTCAGAGTTTTGCACCCCACATATTTCATGTAGCAGAGAGGTAGTTTACTGGTAATAAGAGTTTCAATGAAGCTCCGGTGTAGCTCGACCACAAAGTAATTAGGTGAAGGAACAGGAGAGGATTTGGTCTTCCAAACAGGCAGCTGAATTCTAGGGAATAGATTAAATCAAGAAGATGGCACTGAATAGCTAGCGTTCAGCGCGTGGACTGTAGAAGGATGCCCCTGAGAGATATTGCCCATCTGCATGAAGCAGAGGGGTGCAGCGTGTTGAAGGGGGGAGGACCGAGTGCACTGAGCTGCTCTGGCCTCAGCTGGGGGCTCGGTGGGAGGTGCTGGAGCTCTGGGGTAGGTAACATGTCCATCCCCTTCCAACCCCAAGGGAAGCAGGGAGGCAGCCATCTCCACCATGCCCCAGGACACATGTCCAACTTTGGAAAGATGCTGCTCTCAATGAGGACTACTGCTAAAAACCTCAAATGATCAAAAAATTGTTCAAACAGTGTTTTTCCTTGTTCCTGAGCATTTTTCTGGTGGTTTATCTCTCAGGAACCAGCGGCTGGGAAACGCTGTGGAAGAAGTATGGGTCTTCCTTCCCTTTGGAGGATCTCTGCACTTACGTTTCCTCTGCTGACATCAAAAGTATACTGGATTCAGCCGGGCTGAAGTACCAGCTCCACGAGCTCCCATCCCACATGGACATAACGAGCTGCTTTATTGAAGGGAACAAGGATGGGGAGCTGTTGCTGGATTTCCTGACAGAAACTTATGAGTTTTCTAAAACCGCTCCTCCTGAATTAAAGCGTCAGGTAATAGAAGAGTTAAGAAAGCCTCAATGCAGCGAACAAAGAGATGGGAAGGTGCTTTTTAATAACAACCTGAGTGTAATAGTGATTGAGCCATGAGTTAACTTCTTGCTTCTTGATCCAAAGCAAATAGTCAGATCCAAATAGCTGAAATACATTTTTCATACTTTATAATATATACTTAGTTTACTTCAGTACTGAATACAATTTTTGGGGCCTGTTAAGAAATCATTATTAATATCAGTTGTTATAAGTGAGCTTTAATACCCTATTAATTCTGCACTAATCTATGAACATGTAACTCACTAAGCAGTCAATCGTGTTTTATAATATGAATCTTGTGTAATCAGATGTAACTCGGACCATCCACTCAGGCACTGCAGAAACCAGACCATTTCCTACAAAGTAATCAAGAAGTATATGTGGTTTCATCATCTTCATTTAAAAACTCTCTGCAGAACAAATTACAGCTTCTCAGTGCAGCTGGCAAGAGTGGAGGCTCAAAACGACCAACCATTTGGGTGGCTGCCCAATGGGATCTCTTGAGCTTGCCGTGACTTCAAGATCAAATACCTTCAGTTACCCTAAAAGTGGCTTCACACCTTCTGCATGTGACATAGTTGCCTGTTCCTGCCTTTGCAGCCAACTCCGTTTAATGGCACTGGTCCCCTGTCCCTGTCTTTTCACTTTATTCTTACGATGTTGAACGTGCAGAGCGATTTGTGTACCAGGTCCATACTGGCACTGCAAGAGTGAAGTGATTGAAGATGGTCGAGGCACAGCAGTGGTAACACCATCCTGGAGAAGAGGATTTCACTAATGAGCCCTAATGCAAAGCATTTGTTAGGAATCAGCTACTGTTGTCACATAGGGCTTCTTAGTGTTTTTAGTTAAACACACAAACCTCCTGGTTGCAGGCTTTCACTAGCCTGGCAGCAAGGGCCATGCGTGGCTTGTGAGCTTTGTAACATGGAAGGTTTAAAAATGAACTCTGATGCCAAAGTGACAGGTTTCAGGAGGATTTGTTTCATTTTCAATGGGGTCGTGTCAGGTAAATCTGTCCAATATGTAGCATAGGATGTTCAGCAAGAAGGTGCTTCACCTCCTTGTTCCCTTCTCCATGTGGGGCTGTCTCAACTCCACTAGTTGATGCATTTGTTTTGCTGTATGATTTTATGGTTTTAAGAAGTGTTATGCTCTCTACAAGGCATAATGTGTGGTGGAATACAATATAGTCACTTGGATGCATTTAATAGTCTGAATACTTGGTTTATCCAGTGAGACCGGAGGGATTTCTGCCATTGAAATAATTTGATTCAGTGTTGAAATGGTTTACTTTAGGTAATGCTTTGGCTGCAAGAAATTATGTTTTATTTTTGCATATACATGTAGATTATTAAAGAATTGAAGTGATTTACAAGAGACCATATTGGGCATTAAGAGCTGTTTATATTCATTTTAGAGTGAATTGTTTGAAACACACACTCCTCCTATTGATCAAAGATTAGTTCCTGTGTATTTTAGAATGTTTCCATGATATTTCTCAGCTGTTGAACAAAAAAAAATCTATTGCCACTTTCACACGGTGCTACATACAGATTCCTGCATTAGAAGATGTCAGTATAGCTGTAAGCTGTTATGGTGACAGGCTGAAGTGGGAAAGAAAGAAAATCTCTCCTTAGGACATATTGCTGCATGCATTTCTAATGGGAAAAAAATTAAAGTTACAATTATTTTCATAGCTCTTTTGTGCTGTCAGTGACCTCTTCTAAAAGGTGCGTGTGAAGGAGGTGACCGCTGAACATCGCCACATCAACCCTGTCAGGGGCTCTTTGGCAGCCACTGAAACGCCAGAGAAAAAAAACCCTCAAATTCAACAACAAAACCCCGCAACAAGATGCATGTGCAGGTGCTATTGTTTTCTGGTTTAGCAGAGGTAAATAATACAAGAAAAAAGCTTTTTAGAGTTTTTTGGGGGGAGGTTTGTTCTGAAAATGTGGGAGACTGCAGGAAAGATGAGGAACGGCAGAGGTGATCTGGAGAGAAAAAAAAAGGAGATGACCACACACACAATAAAGCAAACTCAATGTGAAAGCACGTGAGAGCTCCTTCCCCTCTTTAACCAGAAGGGGAGAGGATGGGGAGAGGCAGCGCTCGCTGGGTGCACGCAGCCACATGGGGTTTTATTTAAAAGCAGAATTGCAGAATTCACTGCGGCAAAAGGCACTTTCACCCCAGGCTGGAGAAGAAAACCCCTTATCTAAAATCAGACACGTCAGGGAGATCCTCTGCCACTGCTTTCGCCTCTGAGGAGAATTTTTGGTAGTATTCAGCCTGGAGAAGAGAAGGCTCTGGGGAGACCTTATAGCCCCTTCCAGTACTTAAAGGGGGCCTGCAGGAAAGATGGGGAAAAACTTGTTAGCAGGGCCTGTTGTGATTGGACAAGGGGTAATGGCTTAAACTAACAGAGGGAAGATTTAGACCAGATATAACGAAGACATTTTTTACAATGAGGGTAGTGAGGCACTGGCCCAGGTTGCGCACAGAGGCTGTAGATGCCCCATCCCTGGAAACATTCCAGGTCAGGTTGGACGGGGCTCTGAGCAACCTCATCTGGTTGAAGATGTCCCTGGTCATTGCAGGGGGGCTGGACTAGATGACATTTAATGGTCCCTTCCAACCCAAACTATTCTATGATTCTATGAATTTCATTAAAAAACTGGGGGGAAACAATTACAGTAAACTCCATTCTGCATATGCAGCTTCTTCCGTTAAGGGGCTGGGGGGAAACTGAATCAGAAGAGCACCCTTAAAGGATAAATTATTTTTAATTTTAAATTTGTAACACACATATTTCAAAGAAGTAAGTACTGTAACTATTATTTAGTAGGAAGTGAGTATGGGGAAGGACAATTTTTTGCTCATTTGAACGTAAAAAGTAAAGGAGTTTTTTTTAAATCTCTCAAACAACTTCTGAAAAGCCTGAAGAGCCACATTTCTATGCGAGAATCACCCTTAATTGTAAAGCGAGATACTGCTATTCCAGAGCATGTTTGGGCATTCCAGCCTGCCCACGGGCTGGGATTTATATGGCAATTTTGAGCTTACCCGTGTGCTTTCTGCACTGAATTAATTGTCTTCCTCTCAGAAAGTCTGCCTTATCTCAACCAGCAGAATTTTAGTCCAAAAGCACATCTTCAGGCCAGCCTTGCTCTTTGCAAACCCCCAGCTGGATGTGCAGGCCAACGGGATGGGTCTTCCTTACTTCCAACCCCAGAAAGTGAATTTATGGGCTTTATAGAGAGGTTCACTGAGAAGAGTGGTCTTAAACCAGCATAACACTGATTGAAACAAGCTGGGCTTCAGGCTACCTGTATTAAAAATATAGTAGAAATGATCCTGCAAGTTCTTCACGCATGGGTGCCCCTTTCAGGCTCAAATATATGTTTCAGATATTTTGCAGAATTGTGACTCTGGGTAAATGCAATCCTTAACATTGCGTCTATGTGTTCATCAGAGACGGTTCGGAACAGCGTTTGTTTTTAAATTGGGAGACATCCTTTTCTCTTTTCATTTTGTGGGTGCGTAAAGCTGGAATTTACAAATTATATTACAGGTACAGGAGAAAAAAAGCCAGAGGGAGGGAGGGAGGAAGAGAGGAGGAGGAGGAACTCTCCTTTGAAATAGCAGGCAAACACCCACGTCTGTGTCCCTCTGATAAGTAAGCGTGAGCTCGTGGCTCTGTCTCTGCATCAGGTGATTATTTCCCAAAGTAATTCCCGTGGGAGGCTTGCTGTGCAGGGAAGGGAATAGCCCAGTGTCCACGGATGAGGCACGGCTTTGGAGCGATGCCAAGTGGGAAGGCTGGGGGAGAACAAAAGTGGGGAAGGAAAAGGCTGACCCCCCCTCAAAGGAGCCTGTTCTTCACATGTATACCCCCTCTGCATCGAACCCCTCTGCCTGAGCAGCTTCAGGGCTGTTACTTTAAATCACACGTAGAAAAATATTCTCACTGCTCTGTTAATTACAACAGCAAATTGAACAAATGCACTTACAGCGCGGTTGCTGTCGCCATTTCTACATCGGTGTAATTCATGCTTGCAGCCCATGATAGGACTTTTTAATGTCATTACACAGTAGGGCAAAGTCTTCATTTTTAATAAAAATACAAATGCTAAAATGAAATGGATTAATATCTAATTTTACATCTTCATTTACATGATGTGCAAAATTATCTTAAATATTTGTTATGGATGGAGTGGCTTTCCACCAATTTAGGCTTTTTTTTCGAACTGGAGAATGTTAACATAAATTGTAGCATAAATCATTGCCTTGTAGAGTACCAGAAGGCGCATATAAAAACCCATATCTTTACTGCACATATTTCCCATTAACCATAATCTATTAGTAATTGAAGTTCATTACAAATTCTTGTAGACTTTATTGCTATCATGCTGCATGACATAGTGAACCTGGCTTGCATAACAAGAAGTCCTTGCTGGGAAATATCCTATTAACAATGACAGTGCATTTGTCATTGTGATAATAAATCCAAAGCTGCCTGTAGATTATAAATTATTGCGGCGCCATTTCCACTGTTGTAGTTTAAAAGTTTTGTCAGCACTTCCATTTTAAACCCCTGCTTTACAGGCAGTTATAACCTGACCATAAAAATCTGAAGCAAGCTGAATCTCAGCTTACAAAGTCTGAGTCCCAGGGTGTGTTTCTTCCCCCGGTGAGATTCATATTTCAGCCACATGAAAATCTTACAAGCAGAAGTTGTGTTTACGGCAGATTTTTTACTTCTGCATTTGCATAGCTTCTCATTGGAAAAACCAGGCCATTTGATGAAAAATTTGATGTCAATCTTTCTAAAGACTGTGGTGAAATTTAAAAATATATCAAGACAAAAGGTGGGTGCCGGGCTGAGCTGAGCGTTCGCTAGTTTAGCATCTGAAAAAGCCTCAGTCCTTATCTCCAGGTGCCACTGACTTCGGGGAGGCATTGGGCAAACCCCACTTCTCTTCAAAGGAGAAACTGAAGAGAAATGATGCTACCCATATGCCTCGGAAAGGTGTTTTAAAGATTAATTACTAACG